ACACACACACACACACACACACACACACACACACACACACACACACACACAGCCCCAGCCCTAACCTAACCTTAATTTTTCTCTAAGCAATAGCATAGGTGGAAAGTCACATGACCTTGATGGCTGGGATCATTGATGAGCTTCTGCTACCCAAGAGCGACTGTTGCAAATGTACTTAAAAAGCACAATTTAGAAGAACTTATGCTTTCTTCCTTCTTCTGTCATGTTTCCTATCTTAGACCTTTAAGGCAACAGAAGGAAGGACAGATGGAGTAAATATCTAATTCTGTTACTGAGGATGAAGACATCAGACTCAGGTGATTGGTTTCCCTGGGAGCAAGCAGGGGTGTAGACTCTCCATCTGAGACACACAGCCTACCTGTTGGTCAGGAGTCCTATGAATGGGTTGGTGACGAGCTGGACAGTGGCTTTGGAGGCAAACAGCAGCCCAACTTGCACATTCTCATTCAGAAGGTCTTTGTCTTCACTGGGACAGTCAGAAGGGACAGTAGTGTTGGTCACAGCATGCTGTGTGGTGGTAACCTTGTGTGACTGCCCTCCTGGAAGGCCCGTCGTGGCATTCCCGGTGAACATGGTAGAGTTGTCATAGTAAGAGAAGATGCTGTGGAAGCTTTCGGAGGTGGAGGCTGTGAGCGCCGGCCTGGTGGTCTGGATTTCCGTAGTATTTTTCTCATGCTTAATGCTGTACAGGTAGCTGGGAATGATGGGAACTGGGAACAAGGGCAGGGAGAGAAGAGGCACATCAGAACCTTCTCTGACAAAAAAGTGAGGTTGTGTGAAAAGCATAATGAAACCCAGAAGATGAAACATTCTGCAACAGTTTAACACTGTTTAGTCAGAGAGAGAGAGAGAGAGGGTGGGGGGAGAGGGAGTGGGAGAGGGAGATGGAGAGGATGTCAAGGGTCCCACTTTGCCATGGGGTAGCAGCTGTGCCCACATGACTGGCCACAGAGATGCTTGTCATTTATATGGTTTCTCATTATAGGACTCCCTCAGAGGGATATGATAGAAGGTAGAACAACACTGCCTGAAGTAAGTCAGTGCTGACCCGGAGTGACCTGCAGATTTTGGGCACTCCTGGAGCATCCTGTAGATCCAGTCTATCACAGCAAAGCAAAGTGGTAAATATTATAGAAGCTTGGCTACACGAGAACCACAAAGACCAACTGGGACCCCCAACTGCCTCTGAACCCCACAGCTGACTCTCCCGAGCTGAGAACAACAGTAAGCCACTCTCAGACTCTGCAAGTGAGGAGGAAATGACTCACCACTTGGGGGTCTGAGGAAAACCAATATTTTTGTTGTTGTTATTCACTCAAAATTGGTTTTCAAAAAGAGCACGTGAAATACCTTTCAGTTTGAGGGACCAAGAGACCTGGTTTTGAGCCATCTGGTCTGCTGTCACTGGGTCCCACTTCCATCACAAAGCACTCTGAGATCAAATACTCTTTAGATGTAGTTTGCTTTACCTCAGAGGTAGATGGTGACTTGCTCACTCAGTGGTCCACCAACTGTTAGGCCACTGAACATCCTAAAGGTCAGCAGCAACTCAGCACACTGGTCCATTTTGACAGAAATCTTTTTCATCTCAGTGAAAGTGGGCAAAGGGAAGCAGGCAGTTATCAGGAGGAAACACAACTTCTGGGGCTTATCGGATGTCATGGCGTTTGACCTGACCTCCAGGAAAACGAACCCACAAGTTGCAGCTCCCAGGAGTAGGGGCAAGGAGGGCTTGTGTTCAAGGATGGGTTTTTGTTTCGTTCTCTATACAGCGTGTTCTTCAACTTTTTGGGCAGACAGAGCTGCTCAGATAAAGTGGGGTAAGTGGGGTACGGAGGACAGGTTGCCTGGGAGGAAGCACATGGTCCTGTGGTTGAGCTGGGGATGCTGGCACCCGGGGCTCTAGATGATGAGGACAAGGTGTTGGGGGACCCAGTGCCAGGAACCCGCTCCTAAGGACCTATACCGGGTGCAGAGGACGAGGTGCTAGGGACCCAGTGTCATAGACGGAGATCGAACGGCTGGCACTTCCGAGCCATACGTACCTACGACGGTGAGCAGCATATTGTCCAGCAGCAGCGCGAGAAACACGATGAACAAAATCAGCTTGCGCGAGTGGCGGCCGTCCCGCAGCCATCGCAGCAGCACCAGATCGCTCAGGGCCATAGCTCTGCTACTCTGAGGGAGCGGGTGCGGTCAGTAGTTGAGCCGAGCAGGAGTTCCCCGCCACCCGGAGCGCAGAGAGTCTCATCCACCAGCGGTGGCCCGGGAAGACAGGGAGTGCCCCGCTCCCCTCAGGCGCCGGGATAGCGTCCCAGCGTCACCAAGAGCGCGCCTCCAATGCCGTCGGGGACCAGACCTGGGACCGAGGGACGCTGCCCCTCCCAGCTGCACCCTGAGTACCAGGATCCCCGGAGCCCGCCCGGAGCCTTAGAGGATCCCGAGGGTTCTCTATCCTCCCCAACCTCGCGTACCTCCAGCTCGCCTGCGACTGCCTGCAGAGTTATAGCGCCACACTGCCCAGGTCTCAGTCCGTGCGTCCCCGCTGCTCCAGGTCGCCTTCTCCGCCCCAGCGCCCCAGAGCCCTGCTCAGTTTACCCAGTCCGGCTCTGACGTCACGGACAGCGCTGAGAGGGGGCGGAGTGGGGGGGAGCTGGGACACTGGCCTCCGCCCACCCAGAGCCGCCTCTGGTCCCCAGCCTGGCTGCCGTCACGCGTCCACCCTATCGGACTCCGGGGACGTCTGCAGGGGAGGAGGGGGAAGGGGAGTTGAGAAGGAAGCCTCAGGGGCTCTAGAACACAGCCCCAGGAGCCCAGGACAAAGAGTCAAAGGTCCTGACAGGAATCAAGGCCAAGAGTGTGCAGGCACTAGGGCTTTCTTCTATGCTCAGGCGTGGCCAGAATGCTCAGAAGAAATTGTATGGGTCTCTGAGCTGCCATGTTCATAAAGTGGTCCAAGGAGATATGAATGAAGGCTGTGGGGTGTGCCCCAGGAAAACGTTGGGAACCAGGACAGACACTTGCATCTCACCACGCCCCTTTTCCCATTGGTAGATCCAGGGTCAGAATGCAACTAGGAGGCTAGAACCCTGGGCACCTTCAGGTGAGAAGGAAACAGGGGAAAGGGGACAAAGATGAAACAGGAGTAGGGAGTGAAGACTCTCAGAGTTGAGAGCAGCCTGCTTGGGACTGACTCTGCGGCACCGAGAGCACCTGTGGGTGGGCAGGAGAGCCTGGAACTAGGTTGAGTATGTGGCAAAGTGTCCATGACGCCTTGTTAAAGGAGCTTTCTGCCCGCTGTGCTATGTCTGGGGTGTGAATGAATTGGTTAACCGAGGCGGAGCACCTGAGCAACCAACCTTCTCTGCACAATATCTTCTGCTAGGAATGCTCCAGTGATAGACAGTAGGGAAACACACACACACACACACACACACACACACACACGGAGGAGGAGGAAGAGTGCTTTCTGAGACCCTTCTGTGGGTCAGAGGGGTCAGAGCTGTGTTCTTAGCCACTTAACATCCCTGTTACTGTCGCAGGCTCTCAGCAGAGGGGTCTGGCCTTGTTTTATTGATGCTCGCCTCTTGTCAGCAGGAGACTGCTAGGAGCAGCCTTGTGGTGTGCGCTCCTCCTGCTCTCTCTGCTTCTCTTTCCTTTAGAGAGAGACCCCCCTGCGCTTCCTACCATTACCCTCCCCCCATTATAAAAGATGTGTGGATGGGAAAAGTAGGTCAGTGACACGGGTCTCTGATATCTCGGAATGTGTGTAACTTAAATATTAAACAGGGAGGGAGATGGAGTCCCACTCAGGAGGAGAAAGCAGATGGCAGCAAACTAAGATGACTGTGGAGAGATGGAATTCATGGGCTGCTGCCCCAGCTTTGGAGCTTTGAACCCAAAGGCTCTCACTTGAGCCACAGGGTCAGTGATTTATGGCATGTAAACACTCTCACCACATGCCGGCCCCCAGTTTGATATTTCCTTGATTACTGAGCTCTGGCGGGTTATACTGTCTCTCCCAGCTCTGAAATGTGGATATCCACTGGACCTCCTGCTGGGTACCAGGGAGAATTAGTCCAAATAGCCCTCAGCACAGTGTGGGGAACACACGGAGAGAGTCCAAGAATCCATTCAGCCAGCTGAGTGCTACCAATTCGAGCCAGCACCATGGTGGGTGCTAGTGAAACATTAATGACCAGAGGAGACCACATCATCCCATTCAAGTTTTTATTACTAGTAGCCACTTCATAATGGGGGAGGAGGCACAAGAAACAACACAAAACTCCGCCCAGCTAATTAGAGAAATGTGTCTCCAGGGAGCACACCAGACACACAGAGCTCTGCCTACACGGGGGTTTCAAACTTTTCTGATATTCCCCAAATCTGTGTTTAAACATGTAAAATGTTTTTTTCTGTGTATGAGTGTTTTGTCTACATATGTGTACCACGCACACTTCTGGTACTGTAGGTGGCCAGAAGAGAGCATCTGATCTCCTGGAAAGTGAGCTACCATGTAGGTTCTGGGAACTAAACCAAGTGATCTTAGCTGCTGAACTCTCTCCAAAGGAACCCCAAGAAGATCCTTTAAAAAATAAAGTTATCTTACCCATTTTTAAGTCAGTATCTGGAATGGTTCCATAGTCAGAAATAAAAATATTTCAGGATATATTATAAATACTAGCATGTGTATATAAAACTATCATACTGATTCTTTAAATGTATCTAGTGGAATATAAATGTTATGAAAAATGCAAAGTCACTCAATAGATTTTTAGAAAAGCAAACATGTTTCTCTTTGGCAGTTAAAAAATATACATTGTGTCCTGGGCTGGTTACTTTTGTAAGCCTGAGACAATGTAAAATCACTCCAGTAGGGAATCACAATTAAAAAAATCTAAATTATGTTGACCTTTTTGACATGCGTATAAGGATTGTCTTGATTGTGTTAACTGAGACGAGAAGATTCACCCAATGTGGGCAGCACCAATCCCTAGGTTGGGGATCCTGGATTCATTGCTCTTTGCTTTTAACCAAGAATGTCATGTGACAGTTGATTCAAGTCCCTTCTGCCTTGACTTCCCCACAGTGTGAACTATAAGCCTTAAGTTGCCTTTGTGAAAGTGCTTTGTCACAGCAACAAGGGAAACTAAGATAGCATATGCTTTACAACTTCAAAGTGTTCTTGCTTAGCTCTCAACAAAATTGTATCCTACTTTGATGTTTCTGAAATTTAATTCCTTTGCTCATCTCCTCATCTATTATGTGAACTGAAATATATGAATAGTGCATTAATTTCAATTTTTTTTCTTATGGCCATAAGGGTCTAAACATATCAGTTCCCTTCAGGATGGTGTGATTATCATTATTAGTGGTTACTGATTGTCAATGACATCCTGCATATAATGTGAATTTAACAAATAATTATTAAACATGAAAGAAAAACTGAGCTAGAGGTATATTACTCTAGGCGTGTGTGGTGGTACACCTCTGAACTCCCAGGACTTGGGATACTGACACAAGAGGATCAAGAATTCAGTGACAACCCTTGATAATTTGTGAGATTCTACCTCAAAAACAAAACAAAACAAAACAAAATAAAACCACGGCAATAATTAAATAAATAATGTGTATTGTCCTTGATTAACGAGACACCAATATTGTCCTTTCTGTTTAATATCCATAGTTCTTTTATGACTTAGAGCACTTTGATAGTAAGATTGTCAGAGTTAGATTGGGTGGGTGGGGGAGGGGGGTAAGCCTTTATTTCATCCAGGGGAGACAGCAGATGGCTGAGAGGAAAGATGGCAAAGGACCACCCTGTGTTACTCCTCAGTGGAGTAAAGCTGATCTCAAACAAATTTTAAAACAGAGGACACACGGAAATGTAAGATGGTGTGGAGACTCTTTGTATATCAGAGGCCAGGTCTTGGAAGCTGAAGAGCTGGGGAAACCCTGACTTGTCTGATTCATCAAGTCTCCATAGCCTCCTCCTCTACTATTCAGGGTCTGCTTTCCCTTCTTGTGGTTAATCCTCATTGTCAATTACTTAGGTATATCCCTGTCACACCTTGGTGTGTAAATGAGGTTTCCTGAGAGGTTTTTAACTAAGAAGGGATGATCCAGCCTCAGTGTGGATGATACTAACCCATGGGTTAGAACCATAAACTAAATTTAAAAAGGAAAGTGAATAGAACATCAGCATTCACCTGTGTCTATTCCCTGTCTGTGGATACACCAAGACCAACTGCTTCTTTCTCCTGTCACCATGCCTTTCCCACCATGATAGTCTGTGTGTGTGCCTTTTAACTGTGAGCCCAGACAAGCCTTCCCTCCTGAAGTGGCTTTTGTCAGTTGTTTTTTTATCACAGTCATGAGAAAGAAAGCAAATGCTAACTGGTATCAGGGAATTGGTATCAGAAGTGGGGTTATTTTTGTTATAAACCAGGATGATGTGGTTCTTAAGCTTTTGGAACACTTTGCAGGAAGAACATGAACGAGTTTGGAATTTTGGACCCATAAAGTCCTAGAATCCCGTAAGCAGAACTTAAAAGGTCCATTCTGGTGGGAGCCCAGAAGACCAGAATACTGGAAGAAATGTAGACAAGTGACGTGATGACTTGGGAGCTTTTTGAGAGAACAACGATTCTACTAGTCAAGAGACTATGGAACATTCATATTATATTCTGGTAAAGAATCTAGATATGTTCTTCCCGTGTCCTAAGGAATTGACTGGGGCCAAATTCTATCACAATGGGCTAATTTTTTATGGTTACCACTCCTTGCTTTTGTCTGGGTTTCATTGGGAGAGGAGGACAAATAGAACAGAAAGACCTGGAAATGTGAAGCTTAGCAAGGAAAGGAGTATGACTGAATTTGAAGTCACTGACGATGAAGGCTCAAAGAAATAGCTATAAATTACAGATTGACCTAGAGCTCTTCACTGGGATAGTAGGAGAGGTGCCTTGAAGGCAGGGCCCCACCCACCAAAGCTCCATCTTGTAAACACAGAAAGTAATTTCAAAGGAGAGAGCCTAAGCCAAGACCAACGAGGTTCCAGTTCCAACATGACCACTTAGGCAAGTGCCTTCCCATCTTCAGCCATTGAAAGCCTTCTTCAGGCACACAGTCTACTACAACTGTGATAGAAGGGCCAGGTAGCGCCATGAACCAGCAGCATAATCTAACAGTGTCATACAAGGCAATTGTGGAAGGCAACGTGTACCCTGAAAGGAGGTCTTGAAAGGACACAAAGTCTATCTTGTGATGGGGATTGCTGGAGATGCCAAGGCAATGCCCACCAAGGAAAGCTGCTAACATGGAGTTAAGCTGGCTTAAGACAGAGATCCCATGTGCTGCAGGAGGCAGAGATAGAAGGGAGGGACCACCCAAGACTATCAGAGCCCAGATGAAGCCAAGAAATGCCTCAGATATTGCTCATGGAGCCATGACGTTTAGTGTTTGCCTTAGAGACAACCAGACACTTTTGGCTCACAGTTGAGAAGGATACAGTTCACCGTGGTGGGAAAGGCATAGTG